CGCAACGACAAAATCGCAACGCGAAACACAAATCGCATTGCGATTTTCATTTCGCGTTGCGATTTCATTTCGCATTGCGATTTTGTCGTTGCGATTTTCATTTCACATTGCGATAGCCATTTCCGCGTTGCGATAGTCATTTTCGTGTTGCGAAAGTAAACTATTCTTCTTCTGCAAATTGAAACTTGAATGGATTGCATTACTTCAACCAAAAGACAAAAACAAAACCAAAAACAAATACTAACAAAAACAGTTTAGCAGTATTGGCAGCAACCGAATGAATTACGAGTATGAAAAATCTTAAACTTACCTCGTTGCGTAGAGTATGAACCTCATTCTACAACGATGCTACCATCTCACGTAGAGCGCCTACCTCACCGCGTAATGTAGACACCTCAACACGCCATGCACCATCATCTTTGCGTAAAGTACCGACCTCCTCACGCAAGGCATTGACCTCATCACGTAACTCCCCTAACTCATCCCGTTGAGGTGGAGGTGGAGAACAGGGAAATAAACGTCGTGGCATCTTTGTCGGTCGCCTATCTTGCGGTGATGGTGGAGAAGAGGCTCGATGATGTGACAGAATAGGTGATGGCTGTCGTTGTGGAGGTGTATAGCCGGGTCAATCAGATGATGGCTCTGGGTGAGGTGATAGCTCTGGGCGAGGTGATGGCTCCCGAAGTGGAGGCTGCTCATCAACCGTTCCATCAAAAAAACGCTTACTAGCTTGCCACCAATCAGTGGCAAGCTCAGCTTCCGTGGGTGTCAGCCTCTGTAGAGGAGTGTTGGCCTCCTAACAATATAAAAGCTCAAACAAAGTTAAACGTGTACTAGTAATAACTTGTTTATAAACATATGGTAGTATTTATGTTAACTTACATTATTTATTGTCGTATACCGTAGTAAATATTCCCATTGTAAGGTTCGTTTCCTCTTCCAGGAAATAGCCCTGGGAATATTATTTGAAGTTTTTATTGCACATGTCTTCATGGCGGGAAAGGCCTCAAATATCCAAATCTACAAACAATATAATAACAAATATTAGTAATTGTTAAATAATTACTCATAATTTTGGAAACATTATATAAAAATTCTTACCTTAAAGGCCCAAATAAAGCCTGTCAAAGTGTATTTGGAACCATCGCCATGCAAACTTTTTCGATCATACAAGGCAGACGATAACTTATTCCATGTAGCTTTCCATAAATACGAGCCCCACGGAAACAGGTTCCACGCATTTAGGTCTTCTACCAATTTGATTAGATCATTTGGAATAGGTTGTCTGGCCTCTCTGCCTAAAAAGCCGGCATGCAAAAGAATTAGAAGGCATACTCGGACAACGTCGACGTCATCCATCCGAGTAAAACCATCTTTCTTATTCAATAATATCGTCAGGTCTTCCACGTGTAGATTCATCCTTTCCAGCTCAGGAAAAACCCAGGATAACCATGATGGGCGGGTAATGTGTCCAGTGTACCGACCTACATCATCGTGTCCGAAGCGTAGACCGGTGATTAAGCAAAACTCCTCCCGCCCAAAACACGTATACACCGGTGGAAAATCAAACCATATCTCTTCATCACGACGTTGTATAGTATCTGGTAGATCCCTAGTCATGGTTTGAAGAAATAGGTGTGTCAACATCGCATCTCCACCGGGATGTTGTACTTTCAGCCATGGCCCGAAGCAAGTATCCTCAAACATTTTTCTTTGTGCAGGTGAAAGCTTCGACGCAATTGTTTTGGCCAGGCTGACTTTATTTCTTAAGGTTAATTGAGCCGAATAAAAGTTCTACAAAAACAATAAACATACTAAGTTAGATATACCAAAAACTACACTGTGAAGATATACCAAAAACAATAATAAACATAAAGAGTAGTAGTTTATTCTTCAAACTTAAATTTGCAACACTGTGAATTTCTTATTTGTCTTTGTTTTTTGGTTGAAGTAATGCAATTCATTCAAGTTTCAATTTGCAGAAGAAGAATAGTTTCTGAAAATGAAAATCGCAACACGAAAATGACTATCGCAATGAGAGAATCGCAACGCGAAACTAAAATCGCATTGCGATTTTCATTTCGCGTTGCAATTCTCGGTTGATTTAATAAGCAATCTAAGTGAAATGGTTAATCTATTATTGAAATTACCAGTAAACTTATCATCAATTTCAATATGAAAAACCTAATAATAATGCAAAATTTTCAAAAAAGAAAATAATTAAAAAAACTAACCCTCGTTGGTTGATTTGGTTGATTTTCCATTTCTGATTGTGAGGGTGGCTTTGAGAGATGGAGATAGACGGATTTTGCCGGAGATGGGGACGGATTTCGTCGGAGATGGGTGAGAGAGTGAGAGATGGAGATGGGACTGAGTTGTGATTTTAGGTTTTAGGTTATGAGTTGCGATTACGGGATATACTGTGGACGGTTCAGTGTTCCAATATATTAATATTCGTGTTTAGAATTTAAAAATAAAATACTTGGCCAGGATACTAATGGCGCTTTGAAAATCGCATTGCGATTATGTATTATCGCGTTGCGAAAGTCAGAATCGCGTTGCGAAAGTCAGTATCGCGTTGCGAAAGTAAGTATCTCGTTGCGATTTTGTATTATCGCATTGCGATAGTCAGTATCGCATTGCGATAGTCAGTATCGCATTGCGATTTTCCCAATTCGCGTTGCGATTTACTTATTCGCATTGCGATTTTCCCAATTCGCGTTGCGATTTACTTATTCGCATTACGAATTGGGAAAATCGCAACGACACTGTAGACCATCGCAACGCGATTTTCAACTATCGCATTGCAAAAATGCAACGCGAATTTACGATAATGGAGATCGCGTTGCGAATTAGCGATCGCATTGCGATTTTGTTGGTCATTTTGGAAAATCCGGAAAAAGTTGGTTAAAATCGTATATTATATGGGATTTTTGGTCACTGAGGTTATTTTCTCAAAATTTAATATAATAACTTATAATATATTAAACTAATAAACTAACAAACTAAACTTTTTAAAATATAAGTTAAACGTAAATTTTCCCTTAAACAACTAATAAACTATCCTTTAATATAACTTTAACTATTCTTTAATATAACTTTAACTAATAAACTATTCTTTAATATAACTTAAACTAATAAACGATTTTTAATTATAATTTACTACTAAAAAACTAATTAACTAAATTTTTTATATAATATAAATTCAACAAATAAATATAACTTAACTATTTAACTAACACAAACTAATTACATTTTTTTATATATAACTAACGACTAACAAACTAACTAATTATTTTTATTAATATGTAACTATCAAACATACTAATTAAATAATTTTTTATTTCTATATGATATAACTTAAACTAACAATAAAATAATTTAAACTAACAAACTCATTATCTAATTTTTTGTTTTACCCTAATTTATAATAATAAACTAATTAACTAAAAATTTATAACAATAAATTAATTTAAATAATTATTATTTTATATAACTTAAACTAATAAACTATTTTTTATTATAATAAAACTTAAACTGCTAATAAACTAATTAACTAATTTTTTTATATAATATAATTTTAACAACCAAAATATATATAACTTAACTATTTAACTAACTACAAACTAATTAAATATTAGACTAACTAACACACTAATTAATTATTTTTTTAATATATAACCATCAAACAAACTAATTAAATAATTTTATATTTATGTATGATATAACTTAAAATAACAATAATAAAACTTAAACTAACAAACTAATTAACTAAAATTTTGTTTTACCTTAAACTAACTAACTAATTAACTAAAATTTTGTTTTACCTTAAACCATAAACTAAGAAACTAATAATTTAAAATAATAAACTAATTTAAATAATTAAAAAACTTACCTCGATGTTGTGCTATCCCTTTCTTCTTCTTCCTCTTTTCCCTTGCTCTCTTCTCCCTTTCTTTCTTTTATGTTTCACTCATTAACCCCATCCAATATATAATACAACCACCCACCTCGTCTGCTTCAATTATTCACCCTCAAATTGTCATTCAAGTGAGCTGAAGGACTGCAATAATGCAACAATAAGGGCTGCAATAATGCAACAATAACGACTGTAATAATGCAGCTAAATTCACGCTGCATGGGAGCAGAGGCGCAGCGAGAGCAGACCATAGGCATGCATGGCGACCTATCCCATGCCATGTGCATTGCCCATGCAAAGCACCAAAGCAGAGCAGCAGCTGGAATCACTGGCCCATGCAAAGAACCAAAGCAGAGCAGTAGCTGGAATCACTGGCCCATGCAAAGCACCAAAGCAGAGCAGCAGCTGGAATCACAACGTTGGTCGCCGGGCGTGCATGGCGACCTACAAGGTCACTGGGAGTGCATGGCGACCTACAAGGTCGCCCGGAGGGCATGGCGACCTATATGTTGGGGACATGCATGGCACATGCAGACGTTAAAACGTCCATTATCTCTGTGCAGCTCGCCCGGAAGGCATGGCGACGTAGTAGGTCGCCCGGAAGGCATGGCGACATACGGCCAACACTGTGGATTTCACCCTATTTCAACAAATAATATGGAGAGTGCATTATCTCGTGAATTATTTATTTTGAAAGCATTATATCGTGAGTTTTGCCGTAGAAAAACTGCTCAAGCTTGAAGTAGAAATTCTTGATTATTAATGGCTGTGGTTCTTTGAATTTAGCTTCCATATTTTGAGACCCACTAGCGGATAAGTAGCTTGGCTATTATTATTTTATTATTCAACAATAGTAATATCCCCATCCATTCACCGTTTCCCACTCTTTTTTAAAAGTCGGTAGCTTTGGGCCCCGTGTATTGAATCCAATACAGTTTCCCTGTCCCTGTAGGATCATTGGCAATTGGCAAATTAGAAAACCCAACATGATACGCATCAAATTGCCCAGTGTAGTCGTAGAAACACGGTCGCCACTCGATTTCATCCAACCCCCACCCTCTATAAATATAAAACACTGCCAGTCTCCCGAATTCGTAACCCAAGCCTCAAATTTCCAAACCTCCTCCAGAAAAAAAATGGCAAGTTCCTCCTTTATTCTGCTCTTTCTTTCCCTTGTATACATGGGTTGTGAGGCCGGATCTCCTGTGGCTGCAAGCTCTCACGCCTCCAATTTCATCAAGTCTTCATGTAGTACCACTAAATACCCAGCCCTCTGCATCCAGTCCCTGGCTGCGTTCGCCCCTTCCATCCAGCAGAGCCCACGGCAGCTGGCTCAGACAGCCCTGTCGGTGAGCCTGGACAGGGCGAGGGCCACACAGGCATTCGTCTCCAAGATGAGGAAATTCAAGGGGCTCAAGAAGAGGGAATACGAAGCAATCAAAGATTGCATTGAAGAGATGAGTGAAGGCGTGGACAGGCTGAGCAAGTCTGTGCAAGAGCTGAAGCACATGGGGCAGGCCAAGGGTCAAGATTTCTTGTGGCACATCAGCAACGTGGAGACGTGGGTTAGTGCTGCACTGACCGATGAGAACACTTGCTTTGATGGGTTTGCGGGGAAGGGTTTGGATGGCAAGGTTAAGGCCTCCATTAGACGTCGTGTCATCAATGTCGCTCAGGTCACCAGCAATGCTTTGTCTTTGGTTAACCAGTTCGCATCCAAGCAGTAAAGTTGGAAAAAAGAAAGGAAAAGTTGGTCCAGCGGTGTCAGTTTTGTCATGTGGTTTGGTCTGGAATCCCGTTTTCAAATGTAACAATATGAATATGAATGAAGTTTTTCTTAGCAAAAGGATTGTTTTCTCATTGCTCTAGTGGACGGTGCTTAGACTTTGCTCTGTTTTATTATTATATTTTTGGTGTTTAACTGATTGAACTGTATAAGTGGCTGGGTTGGAGCATTGAATTAACGAATTTTCACACTAGTCGCCGTAATTTACGAATTGGTCGAAGAACCCACGTGTAGTTTTCCATATTACTAGTTCACTGTCTTCTTTACTGTAAGTATATAACATTTAAAACTAACACCGTATAAACTCGTTGAGTAGCTTCCATAAAATAGTGTTATACTCTCTTAAGATATATTCGAATATTTGTGTCTGCAAGATATAAATAGATATATATATATATATATATATATTATTAATGACTAAAAATTATAAACAACTACTAATATACAACCTTTTAATCATCCATGTCGTTCTAAAAAAACTAACACCTTATCAACAACAATTATAATTAACATTTGTCAATGAGGATTTAGCATAATAGGTTGAAGTTTTAAATTCTTTTAGAATTATTCAATTATTAGTTTAATTACACCTTGTAACAAGTAATTCTGCTAATAGTATATTCGAATATGTATTTATAAATTGTAATTTTATGTTAAAACCTCAATTATTCTATGTCAGAAAAAAATCAATTATTCTATGTCAGAAAAAAATCAATTATTCAATCAATGTTAGTTAAATTCTTGTCTACTTTGTAAATAAAAAAGAAAATCAAATTCAACATATCAAGTGATCTCAGTGATCAAAGTTAATATTATTCTTTCTAGATATATTGAGTTTAAGTAATTAAGTTTCCAGGTTATGCGTGTTTCTATGATTAAAAAATTTTAAAATATATATTACTTGTAATCACCTCAGATTATATAAAAAATCAAATATATTGAACGTTATTAATACAAGGGAGGTAAGGTTTTCTAGATTTGGCAAGTGAGAGTTTTGAGTGTTAAATTTGAGAAAAAATGAGCTAAAAGTTTGCCAAATTTGTTCATGTAATTCAGATAAGAGAACTACTTCCAACACTGCAATTCGTTGCCCAAATCCGAAGCATTGGATGCTCCAATTTGTGGACCACATATTATTTATAGTTTTTTTATATAAAAATAGGGGACGAGTTATCAGAGATTGTACCTACATTTAGTGTATTAAAATGATATTTTTTTTAAGATTTAGATTTGATCGACGGTATTATTTGTAGTTAATTTAGACAATTTAATACTTTTTTTTACTGAAAATACATACATAATGTAACAAAAAAATGCATATAAAATGGGAAAAATATGAAACTTACAAATTAATAGGATCTTATAACAGTATATTTCTTTCTTTTTAAAAATTTAGAGCAGTGTTTTGTTATCTCTAAACATTATTATTATTTCTTCATAATTGAGAATTTGAGATGATAGTTGTACTAAACGGTTAGAAAATTAGGATAAACCATATTGATAAAAATTTTAGAGCATTGTATTTTGATTATTAAATTTTTAAAACTTGTAATATAATTTATGAACTTTTTAATTCATTATTATTACGATTATTATAGTTAGTTCCTTTAAGAAAAGTTGACGCGATATGATAAAATTTATTTTTTGTTATTTCATTTTAGCTTAAAAATCTCTAAATTTAAAATTTGTCTTCTTTCAAATTGGCATCTGTTACTCAAATTACATACGTCGTCAACGTTTAGTGTTCTTTCTCTCATCGTCATCACTAAATGATTCCTATTCTTTTCCCCTTTCCCAGTTCTTCTATTTAGATTTATCAGAAACCAACAAAAGTATTGAACTATTGAATCATTTTTGTCATCATTTTTATAATTGTTCGATGGTTTCTCCTATCCATAAGACCATCAAACTAGTCTTCTTCTTTTTTCTTTCTTTCATTCGATTCAATCTCATAAAAAAAATCTTTTAATCTCATCAAATCCCAATCTAAATTAAAAATTAAAAATAAAAATTAAAACTTTCTTACTTCATTAGTTGAAAACTTAGGGTCTGCTTTGTTTCACGTAAAATATTTTCTCATTTTTCAGTGTTTGGTTGGAAGGTCAATGTAAACATTTTCTTGGTTAATATAATCTCCTTGTATTTTTTGAAAAATAACTTACAATCTGATTTTTCATAAGCCATTTTCTAAGTTTTTCACTTCAAAGAATAAATATTAAAAATAATTTTATTTATTTATTTATTTATTTAATATTAATATAATATTTTAATATCATTTTAATCAAAATAGTAATTATTAAAATATTTAAAATATATTTATTAATATTCTTAATAATATAATATTATAATTTTAGTATTTATAATAATATACTCAATTATATTATAATAATATAAGATACTATATTTTTTGTTTTAAAATATTATAAAATTTATTAATTAATTAAGATATTTTAATAAAGATATTAAAATATAATTTTATTTTAAATATATGAAAATATTATAAAATATATTAAGATATTATCTAATAATATTTTAATAAAAATATTTAAAATATATTAATTAATAATTTTTAAAATATTATAAATAGTTAATATAATTTATAATATATTTTGATTTCAATAGAGTATATAATAATCTTAATATTTTTATTTATAAAATTATAAAAAAATATTTTAATAATAATGAATAAATTATTATAACATTTCAACAATAATAATATAAAGTTTTTATGATAAATAATATTATTCATTGTATTTAATATTGTAAAAAATAATTTTTAGAAAAATCATCAATTAGTGAAAAATAGTTAACACAACATTTTCCAAATACTACAAAACGTTTTCCAGAAAAAATAATTCATTTTACAAAAAGTATTTTCCGAAAAATATTTTCAGTAAAATAAGCAGACCTTTAATTTTTATAGTGGTTGTCAATATGGAAGCTTTGGGTTATTTAAGATAAAATAAAAAATAGAGTTTAACATATTACATCAAAATTTTAATAGAATTTAAAATAATGATCAAAATAATAGTTAATTAAAAGTTAATGACTAAAATACAAATAGTCTAAAAGTTTAGAGATCATTAGTGTTGTTTACTCTCAGGAATGAATAAGAAGGTGATCGTGGTTGCGTGTGAAAAGAGAGAGGGTGGTAAAGACGGGCTGTCGGGAGCGTATATGGACTGGAGAGTGGGGTCCTTCTCTGACGCAGGCCATGTGAGACCTGTTTCTCTTCTGCCTTTGTTAACCAAAGAAATTTTAAGTTCACAAGGACGGAACAAATAACTTGTTCTTTTATAGCATCGGTATAAATAACTTTGAATTAAATGGAAAATAAAGAAATAATGTTTAGGTCTGTTTATTTATTTATTTTATTGTGCTTTGTTGTTAAGTTACACGAACCATCATCCACAACGCGAAGTCAAAGGAGATGGATTCATATCCATGCAATGCATCCGTTATTGATATTTGATGATCATGTGTCTCTCACACTCAAATTCATGGGGTTGTGTTTAATATATTATCAATGCTAAATTTATAATTATTTGGATTTATCTTTTCAAGAAAGCATGTTGTGGGAAGATTAACTATCATTGTTACTAATAAATATTTTGATTTCCATGATGAAAAAGATGGACTTTGGTAAGAAATGTAGGGGCTGGATAAAATACTGCATATTAACGCCTATCATTGCAGTTTTGGTTAATGGTAGACCTTCAAATAGTTTTAACATAAAGCGAGGGTTGAGACAAGAATGTCCTTTATCTCCGTTCCTATTCAATATTGTGGGCGAGGCCTTGAGCTGGCTCCTAAATAAAGCTGTGAATGTGGGAGTCCTGAAAGGTGTTTCAGTGGGGATTAGTGAACTAAGTTTGTCTCACATTCGATTTGCATATGACCTTTTGGTGTTTTCAGAAGCTAATTTTGAGAAGGTTAGTGTAACGCCCCAAAATAGGGGTTAAAAATTTCGGGTTTATTTGATTTGGACCTTATAATAAATCCTCTTAGCCCAAGAAGATTTTGACTCAAGTGGCATTTGATTTAGGCTTGGGTTGAGCCAACAAATAATAGAAAGGGTGTTTTTAATATGGACACTAATGTGAAGAAACTAAGGAAGTAATTAACCCATTTTTCAAATGAAAGGTTGATTTCCCAATTAATGGGATGATATCATGTATAAAACCCCCACCTCTTTTTCATCATATGCTTTGTCTTCTTCCTCTCTTCTTCTTCATCCTTTTCCATTCCAAGTCAAGCTAAAGCTTGAATCTTTAAGAAACTCAAGCCTCTTTACAGAATTCCAAGATAAGAACTACAACCTTCATCTCTCAAGCTTCCATTTAAACCCTCTTTTGCAAGGTTCGAGTAAGTTAACCAAAATTGGGTTTTAGAGGGGTTTATGGACTCTTGAAGTTTAATCCGTTTTTGGGAGTGTTTTGAGTTGTAGGATCGTTTTAACACATTCCTAAGTTCAAAAATGAGTTAATAACTCATTTTCCAAGGTTTTGATTAGTGCAAGAGCAGGGCGGGGCTAAAAACTCTATGGGCAAGGAAAAGTTGGTCCTTGGGTGATTTGAGAACGTTTTTCAGTCACATAGCTTCAAGGTAACATGATTCTAACTTGTCCATAACACATCTAGATCATCGTATGAGCATTTTGGTATGTTTTGTTCATGTAAGCATGCTAGAGCAAATTCATGGTGAAATTCGTATTTGCGTGTTATAAGCTTGAAAGTTGACACCTTCTCACCTCTAAGACCTCAAATAAAACTCTAATAAGCTTTACTAGTCTTAAGGGAGTGAATGGGTGTGATTTGAGTATAATTTTGTGCTCAAAACAGAGCACCCGAGTTCATCATTATCGGTACTAAAAGAATATTACCGATATTGTTCTTTGTGAAAGGCTAAAACCCAACATTTTATAAGGGCAATATTGATACCCATTCAAGGAGTATCGATACTCGGAGTCCAGTATCATACCCAGATGGCCAGTATTGATACTGAGGCCTTTTTGAAAACATCGAAGCTGATTTTGGTATCGATACTCATGGGAGTATCGATACCCAGGGTAGAGTATCGATACTCCCCATAGGGGTATTGATATCAAGGTATTTTTTCTAAACATCGAAGAAAAATTTGTTATTGATACTCATTAAGTATCGACACTCAGGGGTCCATTATCAATACTGTTGGCAAAGTATTGAACCCACAGTGTTTTTTTTTTGACAATTTTTATAAATTGCTTTCAGTGATCGGGTTGATTTTCAAATTTGTATAAGCTACAAGTATCCAATACAAGTGAAAACAATCAAGATAACTCATTTATCACCTAAAAATCAAACAAGTTAGGATGACATAAGATTTGCCTTGTGTGATACTCGGGAAACGGCCAGGACACCCGAGTAACTCTAGCATTATGATGATTGTCCTTTGCTTACAAATAACACAGATAATGTTTAATGGTACATATTCGATGCATGTAAATTATGGGTCGTACCGGTACGAATTCCGATTCACGTAAAATTTTAGAATCGTGCCCATTGCTCGACTAGGTTTGAGGTGTGAGCTTCTGATGCAAGTAAATTTATGTCCTTATCTCGACCTCTCGAGGATTCGAGATAGACTAAGGGATATAAGTTCTAATGCACGTAAATTCCAATTCTTACTTCGAAGCTATCACTCCCAAGATAGACTAGCGTGATGTCCGAGATGCACATAAATTCCTACGACCTCACCACTTGGCCTACCTCATGTATGTTATGTACTTTTGCATGTATATGACTTTGCACACTGGCATGTTTATGAAATGAATGCATGTAGTATTGCATAGTTATTCTCGTGGAACTAGGTTTGTGAGCTCAACGTATAGAATGTGTTTCCGTGCGCATGTTAGTAGAGGGACTGTCGAGGAGCCTATCGCATTCAGTATATTCAAGACCAGACGAATTACAAAGTATGTCTTGAGTCTATTTTAGTGGGCATGTATTATATATGGACCCTATATTATTTGAGTCATAACTCTATTTCGATTTATACTGTATGGACGTATTTGTATGTATTAGGAGACTCCCACACTTTGTAAACTCAATTTCATTTTCACACAATTTATGATGAATGATTTTGATGTTATTAAATGTTTTAAAAAGAAATTTTTGGGTTGACCATCTCGGTGATTCCACGTGACATCATAATCTATGGATCTTCAGGTCAAATTGAATTAGGTTGTTACATTTAGTGGAATCAGAGTGTCCAAGTTTAGTCGTTCCTAGGGCCCGCATGTCAAAGTCAGTAAGTGTGTATGTGAGTACATGCCCTAAAGTGTTAAGAATACTTAAGATTCTAGAATGGTGATAGTGACCTCTCTTTTCTTTCTAATTTTAGGTTTCAAATATCGATGATGATGACGTTCCTAGTCATTAGGGCCAGAATGAGGGTCTTGCCTCCTTGGCTAGAGATTTTGGAGACGAATATGCCCCATACTTTGAGCACGAGATGCCTGGGCACGTCGGTGTCGATGAGGTGACCTTTTCCTCGATTTGACCTCGATGCTTCGGCAGATAGTCCGCACCATTATGAATTTATCTGCTATTTCACCCCCACCTGTACCACTCATTTAGCCTGTAGTAACCCTCAAGAGGCTCCGTAGGTACAAGCCTACTGATTTTTATGGATCTAGGGAAGATGATCTCATATCTGTAGACTAGGGGCTTCGTGAGACTCTCAGCACATTACGTCAGTTGCACCTTATGTCAGTTGCACCTTACTCCCGAGGGAAAGCTTGAGTGTGTAACTACCATTCTAAAGGGTGACATGATCGATTAGTGGAAGACTGTTGAGATGGCGATTGAGTCAAAGAGATCTACCTGGGATCTCTTCCTGATGGAGTTCAGGGAGAAATACATTGGGAGTCCCATATTGATGATTTGAGGGATCAATTCCTATATCTAACATAGGGAGGGGACAAGATCGTACTAAAGTACGAGAAGGAGTTTCTGAGGTTAAGTAAGTATGAGTTAGAGCTCATTTTGATGGAGGCTCACCGTTGTCGGAGGTTGATGGAGATCTTCCACCTGGATATTCAGACTAAGTTGGCAGTCGATCCTCTCGAATTTTCATGGACTTGATTTGTCAGGCCAAGGTAGTCAAGAGAATTCTTCTTAAGAAAGCTCATATGGTGAGTGACTCAACATGTTAGAGTCAGAGGGCTCTAGAAACTACTAGGCCATCTCTGTCATCAGTGAAGCGGGCCAAGGCCCCATAGAGTTCAGGGAGACCACCAATAGGGCTTTCTAGAGAGACAATTCATAGATCGTATAATGAAGGCATATTTGACTCACGCAGAAGGCCTTTTTAATCCGCTAATGGTTTGAGTGCTAGTAGGTCTGAGTGGAAACCAACTCACCCAGTATGTGCGACTTATGGGCGTAGACACCCTAGAGAGTGTTACAGAGTGACTGGATGTTGCTTCAGTTGTGGGTCTTTAGATCATTTTGTTTGAGACTGCCCCCGTGCTCAAAGCTCAACCCCCACATCATTTTAGAGATCAATGCCATTTGTTCAATGTGGTCGTGGGTCTTTCAGGGATGGCAAAGCTACTTCAAGATAGTATAGTCAGGGCACGGCCAAATCAAAGTCCGTCTAGGAGCCCCGAGTATCATCGCACCATTATGTCGTGCACACTCAGGAGGAGTGTAATGCTGCAAATGTGATTTCATGAATCTTTACTATTTTCTCTATTCCAGTTACTGCATTAGTAGATCCTAGATACACCCGCTCTTATGTATGTTGTGACCTTGTACGAGAGAGGAATATCCTAGCTAAGGATTTAGAAATAGAGGTCATAATGTCTAGTCCCCCAGGATTAGACGTTTTGGTTGACAAGGTTCACTATCGTTATCCAGAACTTCAGGTTAAGGTATTTATAGTCGATTTAATAGAGCTACCATTTCGAGAGTTTGATGTGATATTAGGCATGTATTGGCTCTTCGAGTATGACGTAAGTTTAAGGTGCAAGATGAGACAACTTATACTTCATAAGGACGATGTGACAAAGGAAGTGATGACTAGTGAGAGTACGAGTTACACTGCCAAGATTGTTTCAGCAATAAGAGCTCAGAAATTGTTAAGTCAGGGATGTGAAGCCTTCTTGGTGCATGTTGTGGATATGCGAGTTTTCGTTATGACGCTTGAGAACATACCGTGCAAGAGTTCTCTTATGTGTTCCCGGAGGAGTTACTGGGGTTACCACCTGACTGTGAGGTTGAATTCAACATTAAAGTTTTTCCAGGATCAACTTCAGTGTCCATTGTACCCTATAACATGACTCCAACAAAGTTGAAAGAGTTAAGGAATCAGATGCAAGAGTTTTTAGATAAGGGTTTCATTCGACTAAACATTTCACCTTGGGGGAGCGTCGGTCCTCTTCGTCAAGAAAAATGATGGTTGATGAGGTTATGCATCGTAACTATCGACGACTGAACAAGTTAACCATTAAGAACCATTATTGTCTTCACTGGATATATGATCTGTTCGACCAATATTGACTTGAGTTCATGGTATTACCAATTGAAGGTTAAGGATGCCAACATTTACGAGAGTTTATGTTCGACCAATTAAGAGTTCCTCGTGATGTCGTTCGAACTCACCAATGCCCTAAAGTCATTTATAGATTTGATGAATCATATCTTCCATCCCTATATGGATCAGTTTGTAGTGGCCTTCATCGATGATATTCTTGTGTCCGATTTTAGAAAGAGCATGATCGGACCTTCGTATCATTCTACAGACGCTTCATAAATGTCAGTTATATACCAAGTTTGGGAAGTATGAGTTCTAGTTAACCGAAGTGATATTTTAGGGTCATTTTGTATCAGTTGATGGAATCTGAGTGGATCCCCAAAAGATCAAAGCAGTACTAGAGTACGAATCGCCGAAGAGTGTCACCGAGGTGTGAAGATTCTTAGGCCTAGCAGGATATTATCGCCATTTTGTCAAGGGATTCTCCTTGATCACGATACCATTTACCAAGTTGCTTTAGAAGGGAGTTCCTTTCATATGGGATGTGAAGCGCCAAGAGAGTTATGACTGGTTGAAAGATATTCTTACGCAAGCCCCCGTTTTGAAGCAACCAGATCAGGTAAAAACTTTACCGTGTTTAGTGATACATCACTAAATGGTTTGAGATGTGTTCTTATGCAAGAAAGTAAATTTATGGCCTATGTGTCTCGTCAACTCAAGCCTCATGAATGAAACTATCCTACCTACGATTTGGAACTTGTGGTTTTCGCTTTGATGATTTTGAGGCACTACTTGTTCGGAGAGAAGTTTCACATCTTCACGGATCACAAGAGCCTTAAGTATATTCTTACTCAGGAGTATTTGAACTTGAGGTAATGAAGATGGGTACAAATTTTAAAGGATAGACTACTGCCTGGGTAAAAAAAACATTGTTGTAGATGTTCTGAGTAGGAAGACCGAGGTAGACTTGCGAGCTTTGCTAGCACATCTGAGTTTGACTGATTCAGGTTGTATTTTGGACGAGTTAAGAGTTGAACCCGAGCTAGTGGGTTAAGTTAAGAAATTGCAAGGTTCAGACAAGTGGTTGAAGGCCCTAGTAGAGAAAGTCCTCCGAGGTAAGGCCCCCAGTTTTGAGTTACGCAATGTAAACTTATTGTACTTCCAAGGGCATTTATGTGTGCCAGTCGACAGAAAACTTCGTGACAATATCCTTCATGAAGCGCATTGTGGCCCCATCTCTTTCCATCAAAGTAGTAATAAGATGTACTAAGAGCTTCAACCATTGTATTGGTGGTCGGGCATGAAAAGAAAAGTGTCCAAATTTGTTACTAAGTGCT